ACCTGGGATTCATCACAAATCGGCTCTCTCGCCGAAGCCCCAATTTGAGTCGAATCCTACCTGTGATTCATCGCAAATTGGGCTTTGGCCAACCGACGTTAGAAGGATTCGACGCAAACGCCTGTCGCGTCGGACGGATTCAACGCAAACGCCTCTCGCATCGGACGGATTCAACGCAAATTTTTTTCGCGTCGGACAGACAGATTCAACGCAAACGCCTCTCGCGTCGGACGGATTCAACGGTTTGCCTGTCGCGTCCGACTGATTCAACGCAAACGCTTGTCGCGTCGGACAGACAGATTCAACGCAAACGCCTCTCGATCGGACGGATTCAACGCAAACCTGGTCGCGTCGGACGGATTCAACGCAAACTTTTTCAATCGCGTCGGACAGACAGATTCAACGCAAACTCCTCTGAATTGATTTGTCTGTGACCGCAACACCTTCAGTGTTACAGACAGTCGGGGACAGACAGACAGACAGACAGACAGAGAGACACATCATCATGATGTCATCATGGCTACTAGTAATAGTTAATTGTACTGTATCGAAAGTCTTTGTCCATGTTCTCTTTCTTTAAGCCCTGCAGGAGCCTGCGGGACGATTCGCTGTGACAAGCGGTGCTCTGTTTGTTTGCTTCTGGATGCTGGTCCTGGACGATCATTACATAATCTGCTCTGACAGCTGCTGCAAGCCACACGTTGTGATTCCATGGTCTCCTTTCACGTGGAGCCCAAGTGGCTTTGAGTCACGGCACCGATGCTGTTGCAGTGCGCCCACCGAGTCCGACTCCAGCAAAACAGTTCATGTGCGAAGTGTCTAAATTAAATCCATAGCGCCTCTCAGCTCCAAAACTGTAACTTCGCTTCATAGCAAGCTAAATTAAAGTAAAGCTGAATGTTCCAGCCTGTCCAATTACCCAAAACAGACATGCAATAATAATTTACCAGATTGAAATCAGACAGGTCAGCCTCAAGGCCCATAGCTGCTCCTTACAATGACAGGCCCAGAATGTCCCAGTTTCCGTCTTTATGGCAGCATGTCAATGCCCCTTAGATTGCCGCGCAGGATTTTGGCGTTCCGCAGATTCTGCTACGGCGATGAGAATGTTTTCAGTTAGTCAATTCAGAACAAGCGTCACTTGGCCTCATTATCACAGTTCTTCAGCCGGGACCCTTGGCAGCAGGACATATTTAGTAGTCGCCTGGAGCCTTTGATGTGCATTACAGTACGCTTCTCATTGTCTGTTGCTGAGCCATCCTAGGACAGTGGCGCCTTATTGACTGAGTGTGAATTTGACATCATAAGAAATTGGGCGGCTTGCTATGCAGCGCTGAGAGTCGCTTTCTGATGCACTGACCAGGCTCAGGTAGCCCTTGATGCATCTGATGTGTCAGCATTGATGCTCTCATCCCTCAAAGTTTTCCGACTCGAGCGTGCGGTTGACTCTGTCGATGTGAGGACCTAGCCTAAGTAACTGAATTTCACTTAACCTGGTGTTAAGTTAAGGCTTCAGGCTCAGTTTCATGTCATTCGGTGTTACATGTTTTGAGTTCAGATTCATTCATTCAGTGTCACTGGTCCCGCTGCTGAGCTTACTACTGTTACTCTCTAGGCCAGACTACCTTAACCTAGCATGGTGTTAAGTTGACGGCTAGTTTCAGGTTCATTCTGTGTTACTGTTACTGTTACGAATTCAATTTCATCCTTTCAGCATTGTACTGTAGGCCACACCGACAAGCTTAATTGCAGTCCGGCCGCTTGCCGAGCGAAACTTGTCCTGAACTCAGAGATTCATTCAGTGACAGTGCAGTAGTCCTGCAGCTTGGGCCCTGCCTCACGGAGTGAGTGACCATGGCCGGCAAGCGGAAGTCAGGGGAGGGCAAGGCTGGGCCTGCCAATGCGAAGGCAGCCAAGCAAGGAGCAAATCCGGCCACCCTGGAAAAGTACAGCTATGTTCACAAGATCACGGCTTGGAAGCTTGTTCTGCAAAGTTCATGCTAAACTGTTCAGCAGCAGCTCTAGGACTAATAGATAAACATCACCTGGCGCATACTTTAAGCCATGGACTGTGACATGCCTCTTGTTAATCTACTGCACGTGCTGGACCTGATGGAGTGAGCATCAACAGTCCGTTTCCTCTCTGAGTCTGAGGCTCAAGGACACCGTGCTGCCCGCCGGCTCCATCGACGCCTTCCTTAGCAACCAAATGGACACTGAGGCAAGGCAATTGTTGTAAACTCGTCACGGGTCATAGTTATCAGAATCATTCATTCAGTCTAATAAAGTCTAACTACTAATACTAAGTCACTACTGAGGACTTCGTCCCAACATGGCATTGTTGCTCACCCTCTGTCTGCTAGGAGAAAAAGCTTGACTTCGCCCGGTGGATGGACAACTTCTGTCCTGCAGATGCTGAGCACCTTGACTGTTTCGACACAGTTGAAACACAAACGATTTTTTTTGCACTGCCTGCACCTGCAGGAAGGCCTACAGCATTGACAGCAACGGCTGCTACTTGAGGCCCTTCCAGTTGGGATGGCGCTCAGATTTCGGAATTAGCGGAATGATGGAGCCTGAAACGGCCGAGCTCCTCCTGGAACTCATCTTGACAGAGGGGCTACTGGACCCAGTACTAGTGTTACTTTAATGTGTACTTATAATCTTCTTGATTTGGTCCGGGTTCTGATTTGACTTGCGATCTAAGGTTCCTGACTGACCCCAACGTTGTCGGTGTCGAGAAGTTGGGCGTCACGCTGCCTCCACCGGAGTACCTCGACGGCGGCATCACCGAATGCCCCGCCATCAACCTGGGCAGTAACTTGGGAGCATAGCGCGAGTCATATCTGTGTGCATTTGATGTTGTGATTCAGGTGCTTTGTTGCCACCCTTCAGTGTCGGGTACGTGAAAGGGTGGAAAAGAGCAGTGTGCTTGATCCTGGCACTCTGTGGAATCAGAGTGCTGGGATTGGAGGCAGAAGTGCCCCACCACATTCGTGCGCCTGGTCTTTACATCAACACATGCTGTAATTAAAATTTATCATAGTCAGATAGTGTAAACGTGAAGCCTTTAGATATTAAGTTTTAAAATAATAGAGTGAGATTTCAGATCATTTCCCGGCCTCAGGTGACAATGGGCACCATCCACTGCTCCTTCGGAGCCTTTCAAGATGTGAAAGCCAAGGTGTTGGCTTCGCGAGGTGGCCTGCATGCACCAAGTCAAGACAATTGGCGTCGACAGTCATAGACCGATAACTGGTTATTATTATTTGTTGTTAAAACTGACAGACTAGGAGTGACCCTCGCGTCTACCGCAACGCGGCGACCCCCAAACTGCTTCCACTTCCTGCGTCAAGTTGTCATCTTACAAAGAGCTGGAGCAGGAGGAGCCGAACAGCAGTTTTCGGAGACTCAGAACGAGATAGCAACTTGAAGACGTTTGGCTTTATGTTCGATTCCTAAGAAGTCTTGTTATTCTCAGTCTCAGGATTGGCACTCCCAGACTGCCATTGCGAAGGCCTTCCAAATAGGCCGGAGCGAAGCCGGAGCTGTGCAGCAGCTCATCACGGCCGTGCCGAAGGATGTGAAAAATGCATTGGAAACGGCAGTGAAGCAACGAGGTATGGTGAAGTTTCTGGGCCATGAAGCTGTGGCACGACAACTCTTCAGTGCCTCCTACATCAACACCTCGCCGGGCATGGATGCATGGCGGGACCAGCTGACAAACGCCCCGGGCGATTCCAGGATTGTGACTGAACGTGAACATCTGGTTTGCAAAATTTGGGGTTGAGGGATGGCTCTTGAACTCAATTAAGCTTTCTTAGTGGTCTACTATACTGCACCAGACACGTAGAATGCGATCATCGTGAGCATAATCCTTTCGTTTTCAGACCTTGGTCAGTGTAGTCCAATCAGAATCATAATCATCATGCAATACTTGTCCGAATCATCATGACCATCATCATCCTCAGCTCACGCGCCCCCTCGATCATGGCTGGCTATGTCTATCTCTATCTCTATCTTTAGCTCTATCTTTATCTCTATTTCTATCTCTACGTCTACCTCTATAAGGCATCTTTGCTGGTGGAGCGCCTCGTCAGCGACTTCGACCTCGCGCCCGAGCCCCTGCGCAAGGTGCCTTGGAATCTTAGTGGTTGCAACTGCAAGTTTGGCCTTCAGAGTAAAATACTGAGAATCCAAGATTGGTTGCAGCAGTGTTAAACTTAGCTTCCTCAGGCACCGACCTACAAGGAAACGGTGACAAAGCATGCTTGCTGTGCTGCCATGCTGCACTTCCTCGGCCTCTTGGAAGCCATGTGCCCCGGCAAAGAGTTTCCTGAACTCCGGGGGCAGCTCATGCATCAGTTCCATCACGGCTACTTGGACACGGACCTTGTCCACGTCCTTGAGAGCGCCGTGCCGCCAGCAGATCTGAAATCTGTTTCCGCCTTCAGGTGCACGGTTAATAAACAAGCAGCATAATGAACCATCTACCTCACAATTTTCCGCCCTCAGGGCGGTGGTGGTCCAGATCGAGACCCAGGCACAGGCGGAGATGGATGCGACGCAGGCAGAGCATGCGCGGCAAGTCCGCGAAGCCACCCTGGCCCAGATCACCGCCTTGGTCGAGTCTGACATCAAGGCATTGCGGCAGCGGACCCCAGACCATGTGCTCAAGGCCATCGCTGCGGCAAAGGATTTGAAGTACGTCAAGGACAGGCAAATGCAGCTTGACACGAATAACACTAGCCAGAAACCTTGTGACGTGGACTACGTTAGTTATGCTGTCAAGGCAAGGCGACAACTTTGTGCACACGTGGATGGCCGAGTACTGCCACTGCGAGATGCTGGACGAGACGCTCAGCTGCAAAGGCAACAATGTCCTGCCCAACGTGCTCAAATACCTGGGCCAGTTCCGTGGCATCGCGGGCACGCAGCCACTCGACGATTACTTATCCTGCAGCCTCGAGTCAGGCCTAAAGTAATCCAATTCGTGAATCCCAATTCATCATTACAATCATTGTTACAGACTCGGAGCCCGAGGTCCCAGAATGTAGGTAGAGCTCCTATTTTGGGTTTAAGTGTTACGTTTATTATTAAGAGATTAATAATTGACATAATATGACAGTAATTAATAATTGTCAGGTTGGGAATCTAAATTATGAGTTATTTAGTTAGAGCTCCTATTTGGGGTTGTGTGTTACTTCAGTGACTAGTTGACATGTGATGTAAGTAAACTAACTAAGAGTAACTTAGTGTCCTCGGGGTCTACGGTTTAAGGATCAAGTGTTCTGGGCCTTCGGAGTTGTTGTTTTCTATCAAGCGGCCTGGGATGACCGCTTCCAATTCAGGTACGTGTTGTGCCTTTGCGATTACACGGTGCTGCCAGCGAATGTAGATTACGTGAGGGACTCCGTGGAGCTGCTGGCAAACTTGCTTGCCAGCAGCTCCAACAACGTGGGCCTCTTGCAGCTTCCGCTGCCGCATCGCTCGATGGCTTCGTCAACGAGCGTCAAGCACAGGCGGACCGTGGAGGACTTGTTGCTGAAGGCAAAGATCAATGCAGACTCCGTGACAGCCCTGCTTTTCGAGAAGCCTGCCGACGCAAGTGCATCTGACAAGCGGTCCCTGACGCAAACCTGCTTGACCTGCCTCTTCAGTGGCTTCGATGCAACAAGCTGGAGCGCTTCGCGAGTCTTGCAAGAGTGCCGAATGGGACCCTTCCCGCTCCTGAAAGTCGCGGACTTCCTGGGCTACGAGACCTCGCGGCCTGGCCCTGCGGCGAGGATAGAGCAGCATCTGGGCAACAAACAGTGAGTCCGAAGGTCAGACTTCGGGCATTTACAAAGAGTTTGTTTCTTTTCTAATACTACTGAAAGGTTCTTTTAAACTTAGTGGGTGTGAACCATAAACAAATATCGGTAATCATTAGCAGGAGAACCATACTAAATAGGTTGTCAGGATTGGGGTCAAGTTTAACTCGTGTGTCACAGGGTCGGTCGCGTGGGCGTTTCGGTCACATCGAAAGATAAGGGTTTTTGTATTTGATTGATTCATTCCTGTGAGCCAGTGGTCTGTTATCCGAATCAGAACATGAGTGCGCCATCATACGAACAGGAAGGGAGTGCCGCTGCATGAGGGCATCCTCGATGCTTTCATGGATGGCATGGGCTTCTCCGAAACGGACAGGCTGGTGATCGTGGACCTCTGTCCCAACAGGTTGGACCTGAACTGATATGTTGATTCCTTTCTTTCAGTCAAACCATCATATAATACTTGAAATTCGAAGGGTTGCTCCTGCAGGCAAGCCGAGTTTGCCCGCGCGGCCGTGAACAAGATGATTGCGAGCGAAGGCAAGAGTTGCATGCGCTACGTCGGCCTCTTCCGCCCGGAGCATGCTGATGTGAAAGCGGAGCTCAGCGGCAAGATCTACTCCTGGTGGGATAACAGCAGCGCCGCCCCTGCAAAGAGACGCGCTGGAGATGATGTCGATTTGGAGGCGGCGACCGTGCAGCTGCAGATCCTTTCCTTGCAGGGCTCCAAGCCCATATGGCCGTCTTCGCTTGAGGACAAGTTTCCGTGCGGTACCCCGGAGCATGCAAAGCTCCTGGCATTGCGCCAGGAGTTTTTGAATGAGTTCCCGAAGCCGCGAGCTCTGAGCCAGATGGGCCGACAGGCCTCTTCGGTCAGCCAGCAGACCCAGCGCCTGGCTGCGGAGTGCGACTACTCGCAGGATGGAGAGCCGCTGGACGTTGAGCGGTGCGTGGACCTCGCAACGGTCCCCGTCGCAGAGCTGAAGGAGACCATGCTACCAGTCTGATGGCTCTTAAGGTTTGAATCATTGATTGAAAAATTTGTTCTGAGCATGCAAGGTCGCAATGCGTGTAATTATTAGCCTTATTAGCCCAAAGCCCAGAATCAGAAGCCTTTAACTTTTCATCCCGAATCCTAAACCCCTTTTACTAAACCCCCAAATGCCTAAACCCCGAAACCCTAAGTTTGTAACAGGAACTTAGCCCTAAATTCGAAAAATTAGCGTACATGTTTAGATCTGTGTGTGTGTGTCCTGCTGCTCATGGCACCTGACTGAGGCTTTCCATGGTCACTGGGCGCCCCGGCAAGCCGAGCATCATGATCACGGCCGAGTACGCCTTGTGGATCGGCAACACCAGCGACTCCCCTCTGGATCTTTGCTGCTCTGAACTTTGTGGGTTTGGGATGGGCAGTTACTCGGACCGTCCTGTTCGCTCCTCGTCTGAAATAAGAATATCGAATCAAAGCAACAAGCACACCCCTTAGTTTTAAATGAAGTGTGAGATTCCAAAAGAAGACAATAAGAATCATGTATTTGGCACGACGAGTGGTACCACTACTAAGTGCTAAACAACCATTGCACGAGTGTTCCGGCATTGAAGCAGTTTTTAATGCGAGAGCCCGCTGATTCCAGGAAACGTGCTGGAGGAAAGCTCCGGGGTGCCATGGCGATTGGGCAGCGACAAGGAGCTCGTTGTCGTGAACAAGTCAGCATTGCCACTATGCGAATTGCTGCGGCTGAAGGCCGCCCACGATTGACAGATTAAGAAGCATGCTAGCACTCGTAGCGCAGCGGGATTGTGCATTGGGTCCTGACATCACATGATGCCGGTGTAAGTTTTGAAGGGCAGACTTAAATGAATGTGATGATTCTCAGTGTCAGTCTAATGACGACAATGATGATTGATGGTGATGATGATGAAGTAGGACTGGGTGGCTTCGTGATGTGGAAGGTTATTAAAAGCCTGGTTTGCGTTACTAGGCCACGGAGGAGGGCCTCGTGAATGTGGAGCTGGAGTCCCACGTGGTGCTGCCCAAGCCTCCTGCTGCTTGCTTGCTATGCTTATTAATCTAGAGGTGAGATTCAACATGACCTGTCATCCAAGACTGCTGCTGCGCCAGAAGATGCCGCGACCCAGCTTGATGATGACGAAGCCCTGTTTGGGTTCAGATATGATGTGGCCCCGACCGTGAGCTGCAAGACGAGTGTCTTCAAGCCAGCAGCGTTGAGCAAAGAGGAGACAGAGAATGTCCGTGCTGTCTCCCTCGCCGCTCTCTTCAGTGGTAACTATGACCGCTTGCCCCGCAACAAGATTGCCACTGTGGCTTGGGAGGCCGTCGTGCTGCAACCACTGCGGGCTTTTCATTATGTCTGTATAATTACTGTTGCAGCAGCAAACGATAAAAGGTTGTCGGGCATCCTCCGTGGAGTCAATCGTGTCATTGAGCAGATTACTTTGGTTCAGCTGTCATTGTTTATGTTGCAGGTGACGGTGAGCGGGACACCGCCCAAGATCATGCCGATCAAGCCGAAGATCTACTTGACCTGCAGCGTGCGACTGCCTCCGCAAAGTTGGTGCAAGGTCAGCTCCTGATCCTGAGTTTTTCCGGACGCTGCAGCAGCATCATCATCATGGTACACTAGTAGTTGCAAGATTGGCGCATTCGAACATTTCAAGCCGACTTGGTGCTTCTAGTCTCCATCCGAATGCATGAATGACATGTGAATGATGGTGATGCTGATTCAGTTCGAGCCTCGAGCCCTCTTGATGAGTTGGCCGTGCACAAGCACAGTAGACGTGAGAGTGGACAAGCTGGGAGTAGTATAATAATAATAGTACCCCGAGGGTTTCAATTCATGTTTAATAGCTGTGCCTAGTTCTGCGCTCCACGTCGTGTGCGCTGTCACATCAAGCCTGAAGGCCGCTTTCAACTTTTAATTTTCTTTCGTTGTCAGTTGCACTTTGTGGGCTGCTTATGTTACTTTAATTTCTCAGTCCTTATAATAAAGTAAGCCCTATTATGATTCAGATGTGATTTCGGAGTCCGAATGTCTCTGCCCACTCCATGTGCAACATCGCATAGACATCGAGTCTGACGAGCTTGGCATCGTCTTGAACAACCAGTCAGCGGCTGCGTTTGATTCTCGCATTGAGTCTGAGTCCTGTCACTGAGAGGACAAGCTTGGAAGCCATGGCTTGTTTTGTCAAATTGAATTGTTCTTTCAGGTCAAGCCAGGCCCTGCTTGTCGTAGGAGTACTGTAGGGGCATGCCAGTTTTTAGTGCAGTGAATGAGCTGTCCGCAAGCTCCGATGAATGCGAGGCGGGTTCAAACTTCCTTGGGCTTGATTCTTATTGGATCGGCGGTTGTATTGTAACAAGGGTTGTTATGCCAAAGTTGTTGTTTGTTATTGTTTCTTGCTATGCTAATTTCCAGGTGTCCTTATTCAATTCCGAACACCAACAGTCCACGTCAGGAGAAAGTTAAAGGAAAAGATAACGAAAGCTTAGCGGACCCTGAGGTTCCACTTCTGGACATGAGTTGCTATGAAGGGGAGGAGGAGGAAAAGGGCATCTTTTGGCCTGATGAGGGAGAGTCAGAGGAGGAGGAGGAAGAGGAACCAGCACCCAAAAAGAAACCCGCGATGAATGACAAGAACTTGAAACGTGATACCGGTGATGATGAGCCAAAGCCACCCCTGAAAAGACCGGCAACACATAAGAAGGAACAACACGAGGATGAAAATGCAGAGCTCCGCAACAAGAAGCAGCGACCTTCAGCCTTGAAGTCAAAGTCGAACATTGCACCTACCCCAGGTGTTTCAAAGGACGCTTCGGAGCAGGATGAAAAGTTAAAGGAGGAGGACAAGCCTACCCCAGGTGTTTCGAAGGACGCTTCGGAGCAGGATGAAAAGTTAAAGGAGGAGGACAAGCAGGAGCATCCAGCATCCGAGCAGCAACCACCCTCAGCCTCACCCGTGAAAGCGAGGCTCAAAATCGCCCCAACCCAAGCTGTTAGGAAACAAGCTTCGAAGAAGGATGAACAGGAGGAGGAAGCCAAGCAGCCACGACGTCCAGCCATAAAGCCGACACGAGCCCCTAGCAAGACTGTTTCCACGGAAGGTTCCGTGCAGGATGATGACGTAAGGGAGGGAGCAGGGAAGAAAGCAAGGACAGATCCGGGACCGAAGCCGGATGTGGAGGAGCGGAGTCGTGTGTGTTCGTTGCATGACAATGAGCGCTGCACGGATGCAATGCCCAATTGTATTAAGTTCAACCCCTTGTTGATTAAGTTCAGCCAGGAGCCCATGCAGACCGAGGAGCAGAAAGAAGCAAAGACCAAGGACGACGAGAGTCGTAGGGCCGCCTGTCGTTAGAAGTTACCCAACACTTGACAAGTGAAACCTGAGTGCTGTAAATACCAACCTTCCCCTATTCAACCTAGTACCTCGCCATTATTTAAATATCAGATAAGTCTAGCTTATTATGCCATTATAGCTCCTAAAGCGCCGTTAATAACAACCCGAAGGCCCTGCGCAGGCCCTAAGCCTAATGAGCCCACTACCCTACGCCCTACGCCATCGGCCTCGCTGAGTTAAAGTCAGGAGCCCCAGAAGCCAAAGTTGAAGAAAAAAGAAGCAAACGACTCGGGTTCGAAGCAGGCTTGCCGGCTGACTGTCATGAGATGTCATACTTGATAACAGAATAACAACTCAATCAACCTTACACCCTACACCCTCGCTTAAAAGCCAAAGGAGCTGAAGAAGAAGAAGAAAGGAGCAGTCGCTTCGGATTCGGGTTCGAAGCAGGCTTGCCGGCTGACTGTACTCATGGCATTGCTTGACGTCAGTTTAACTTTAATTGAAACCCTACTACGCCCTACACCCTCGCTAAATTATTTAATTCAGGAGCCCAAGAAGCCAAAAGAAGTGAAGAAGGAAGGAGAAATCGCTTCGGGTTCGAAGCAGGCTGGCCGGCTGACAGTCACTCACATAGTAAACCTTTGAACTTTCCAATCGAGGAGTCGAGGGAAGAATCAGAAGCTGCCGAGGAGTCGGAAGCGGAGGCCACTAGTCTCGCATGCGTGAATCTAATGTCTCATTATTGTATTTTATAATGATGCCCTCACGCTACATGTTTTACCACTCTTCGAAAACTTTAACCCCCGAAGCCAGGAGCATGATGTGCCGCCGAAGCAAGAGCTGCCAAAGAGAAAGCCCAAGGCCAAAGCAAAATCCAAGACATCACCGCGTCCGCCAGCGCAGGATTCGGATTGAAGCCATGATGATGCTACATGATTTGACACCCTTCGAAAAACTCCAACCCCCGAAGCCAGGAGCATGTCAATGTGCCGCCGAAGGAAGGGCAGCCAAAGAAGAAGTCCCAGGTTAAGGCCAAAGCAAAAGCCAAGACACCACCGCGTCCGCCAGCGCAGGATTCGGATGGATCCACTCCGCATTCAGCCACTGCCACTCCGACGCTGAAGGTGGACAACCAGAGTTATTACAAAAGCAATAACAGCTGGGGCATCAAAATCAATGGGGGAGAGAAGATAAGAGCCACTCTATTTGCATCTAAGTTTCGATTTAAGGGTTGAGTTTTTGAAGGCATAAAATAAAATACCGTCATGCAGAATTCTAGCCCAGGTTGGCGGAGTGCTGTATCCGAAAGACCGGACGGAAGAGATTGCAGTGCCTTTGGTGGCAACTGGTAGCATTTCTCAAGCCTATCGAGCAGTGAGTGTCTGGGTGCCTGGACAGTCAGGTTGAAGCCGTGAGAAGGCTGAGACAAGGAGAGAGGTTGGAAGACGTGAAGGCCATGTGTGCTGCGTGGCTGTAAACATCAGACACCACTCGATTTGATAATTGCTGTTGGTTCCGAGTTCTAAACTAATAATATTATTAAATCAAGCCCAGAAAGCTAAAGTAACAGTAACGGTAACAGTACCAGCAACAGCAAACAAAAACCAATCATCACCAACAACAGAACAGACAGCAGCAGCAGCAGCAGCAACAACAGCAACAACAGCAGCAACCACAACAAGAACGACGACAACAGCAACATCACCAGCAGCAGCAGCAACAACAACAACAAGAACAACAGCAGCAACAGTAAGTAGATCCGCAGGACCACGACCACGAGCGCGACAACGACGACATCAGCAGCAACATCTCAACTCTCCACTCAAGAACAACCTCCACCATGCATCACTCTACCCTTACCGCCACCAACAAGATACGAACAAGAACAACAAGCCATCTCAAGATGAAACCCGTCGTAACCGTGATTCCGTAGCATGCCAAGGCAGCAATGCAGAAGGCGTTGCTCGAAAAAACAATGGCCACAGCTGAGCAAGAGCGCAGCCACAACTTGGCAGACTCGAAGGATGAGGAAGATGCCGCGAAGGCACGAGATTCGCAAAAAACCGAGGACGACGATCAAAACGACAAGGAGTCAGTTTGTGCGGAGAGCGAGGTTGAGCCTTAAAGAGGCGAAAGGATCGCAAAAGTTGCGAGCCTTAAAGAGGCGAAAAAAATCGCAAATCCTGCGAGCTTTAAAGAGGCGAGAAGGATCGCAAATCCTGCGCGAGTCTGGCTGCGTGCAAAACAGACAAGACTGAGAGTGCTCGCAAGTTCTGCACTGAGTGTGCGCATGTCTCCTTTTCTTAGCGGGCACCCGTTGAATCATCCAAAGCCTTTAACTTTCTTAGCACGTATTATGACTTTACTTTGTGCCGAGATGCACACATACGTCGTACATGTATTTATACACGCATGCTCTCGCCCGTCAGAGCCGGGGGGCGGCATGGCCGTGCCCTGTGTTGCCGGGGTTCCTTCCTTTCTGCCTGTCTGGCCGGGGGGCGGCCTGGCCGCATCCTGCGCCGGGGCTTTCTTCTCTCGGGGGGTTTTTATTCCGGGGGGTTTTTATTCCACGTACAGGAACATGGCTCTTTATAATACATGCATAGAAAAATAATGATTTGATTATTTATTTACAGTCACTTTCGACAACACTCAGTTTGACGATCGTGTGGCCCAATGTGCCAAAGCTAGTCTTGCAGTCACTTGCGACAACAGTGAGTTTGACGATCGTGTCATTTGTTGGCCACAATGATTGTAAGGGATGGGGTATATTGGTAGCGGAGCCTAACAATAACCATTGGTAGGGAAGCCCAACGCCAGCCATATCACAGCAGGCGTACCCAACCAAAACCCAGGAACACCAGTTATGCTGGGAACACCAGTTACTGAGAAAAGTTCTTCTTAATGGTGCCCGAGGCTCTCGCTTGCAGGTTGCAAAGGGCCCTGTCCGATTCAATGCCAGACACAATTGGCACTACACCGAGGCGTGGCAAGGCCGTAGAGTCTTGCTGGTTGCATTCACAATCCGTCATGTCGAATCCCTGTGCAAGGAACATCTTGACTTTCTCCGCAAGTGTCATGTTGATGTTCCGGAATGCGCGCCCGAGGGCGCGCGGTTGGCGCCTGCAGAAGTGTGTGATCGTCAGCCGCCATCCTTGACCTCTACTGCAGCTCAGGAGTCGCTTAGGCCCTTGCCCGCTTCGGTTGTCCCCGCCTTTTGCCCTAAGGAACCT